ACCGTATATCCCGTTTGGGGTCGCGGGGGGTGGAGCCTATCTCAGCTGACACTGGGCGAGTGGCAGGGTGCCAGACTAATATTTATTTATTTATCTATTTATTATTTTTAATTTAATTCTATTTTATTTCATTCATTTATTTATGAATTTATTATAATTTTATTCTATTTATTTATTTTTATCATTTTTATTTTATTCTATTTTATTTATTTGTTATTATTATTATTATTTCCTCAGCTTCATCGAGGTTGACTTTTATTCTGCTCTGTATTTTAATAGAAGGAACGTCATCTACAAGATGTCGTGTTTTTGCTCTACAAATGTTCAATAAAAAATGTAAAAATAAAATAAAATTGAATTAAAATAATGATGATAATAAAATAAAAAATGACACAAATTTGCAAGACATTTGTAAAATAAATAAATAAATATAAAGAAAGAAGAAAGAAAAAAGAAAAAGTTTAAAATGAACTAAAAAAAGTGTTTAAAATTTTAATAATTCTGTATCATAATTGTAAATATATAATTTATAATTATAAATGTAGTTTGTCCCGACCTTTTTACCTATTAATTCTTTGCAATTTGTGGGAAATTTCTCATCAAGTTCGTTGCCTTTTCCCCTCATGTGTTTGAAAGTAATCTCACACATTATCTCAGGGCTCAAAGGAAAGGTGTATTTTTATCTTATTTTATCCCACTTGTGTTTGTATCAAAGGTGAAGTACAGACAAAGTTGAATCTGTCTTATGTGTTGAGCCTGAACACAGTAAGTGATTAAACTTCCTGGTTGAAGCACAGCAGTGTTTTTGGCTGCAGCATCCCTCTGTGTCCTCTGGAGGGCGCTGCAGACTTTAATACCTCAGCTGATGATGAGGATGAGGTGCAGCGCTCAGTCAGTGCAGCAGAGCATCAGCAGTGTTCAACCTGAGGTCTGAGGACCTGCCGAGGGTCTCAGAGGGGGACACAGGAAGACAGAGGAACTTCCTGTCTCAGTCAGACGCTCACCTGAAGTCTGATGAGCTCTACTCTAAACTCTAAAAATGTAATATATTACTCGTTGCTCTTTAACAAAAGTGGTAATATCCCTGCCAACATTAATCAGTTTCACTACTTGCTATATTACTTTTCTGTGACACCTCATAAAAGTGCAGCTGAGGACAGACAGCTTCTTTTTACCTGGAGGTCTTCAGTTACCTGTGAGCGGTGTTTTCGCAGAGATCTGTCTGACAGACGGAGAGTCACTCATGGAGCAACATTTCATCCAGCACATATCCAACCACCAGCTTCATCACTTCTCTGTGTCTGCAGCTGTCCACCAGTAAAGTCCAGTTTGGCTTGTTTAGCCAGTGCAGAGCTACAGCCGACCTCTGCCGCCAAGGAGGGCTCAACTTTGGTGGGGTGTATTTCCTGGAACTTCAAGTCATAGTTGGTGTTTCAGAGTGGAGGTTTGAGGACGTGTTTTAGTCCGACTTCCTGCAGCAGCAGAGTTCTTGTCGTCTTTCCGAACTTACTGGAACTTTCCAGCTCCTTATATCCTGTCCTTCAAACTGACACCATCCTGTGGCGTATTGTACCACCGCGACAGGTGGCTTTTGGCGTCGGTGTCTGACGCGACTTCGGAATGAGAACGGGCTGGTTCATGGTGATGAAGTGGCATGTCACACAGTGTGGTTCACTAACGTGTTTTTCACAGCGATGGATAAAGGAGATACATCAGGTTTGTTGGGTCCGTCCAACACCCCTTCCACCCCGTGTGGACTTTTCAGGTCATTACATTTGTCGTAGCGTTTCAACCTGACGCCATCCTGTGGTGCATCACACTGCAAGAGAGGTTCCATCCAGCTGCGTTACAAACTGATTTGACAACATGTTATGCGTACGACCCACTGTGGGGGATTTAAAAAGTATCTGATAGCAGTTAGCAGCTAACTCAAAGGAGAAAACCATCTCTGTGTAAAAAGTGCTAATGTCTCTTCAAGGCGTTATTCTGCCTCACTGTGCTGTATAAAGGGTACAGTCGCTGAACGGGGGGACAGGTGGTAACAGCACTGAGACAACTTGTGTGTAAAAGAGACAGTCAGGAGGGATGGGAGGGACAGGTGTGACGTTTGATGACGTGTCACATGTGCAACCCACCACAGGAGATTTAAAAAGCAGCGTACAGCTGTTAGCAGCTAATTCAAAGAAGAAGAAAAGCAGCTGTTAGCAGTTAGCAGCTAACTCAAAGAAGAACAGCAGCTGTTAGCAGTTAGCAGCTAATTCAAAGAAGAACAGTAGCTGCTAGCAGTTAGTGGCTAACTCAAACAGTGAGGTCCAGGAGCTCCTTACCCTCCGAGCAGAGGACGAGATTAGCCGCCATGTAACAGGGACGCTAAATGATTGTTATTGACATGTGATGTCATTGTTATTGTTTATAAAGAGCTGCTGACACGTATGTTACATGTCACACTAGAGGATGATGCTGTTGTGTTACATGTCACGCCTCTTTTGATTCTGTGATGTCATCATGCTGTCTGACATCACACACTGGAGCGACATGATGCCGCCGTCGTTTGGTTCTGTATTAAAATGTAAAGGAGGTGTAAAGAAGCGCCACCTCTGTGCCATGAAGACAACTGTCAAGGCGTCCGTCATTAATGTCATAAACTGGAGGCTAAAGCTGTGTGTGTGTGTGTGTGTGTGTGTGTGTGTGTGTGTGTGTGCTCTTTTTTTCTGTCTGACATTTCTGATTTCTCCTGTGACTCACAAGAGGCTGACTCACCACTGCTCCCTTTGCTGTGTGTGTGTGTGTGTGTGTGTGCGTGTGTGTTACATATTGACATGTTATTTGTTCATCTCTCTCTCTCTCTGTCCAACTTTAACGACACCGGTGGGCCCAGTCTTTGGCCCGTTCTTCAGGATGACTGGACACATTTTTTTTTCCTACCTGTGTGGGTTTGAACCTGTGACGCTTCCATTAGTCTGAGAGTTTCTATCCGCCCACCGCTGCAGTATGAGGTCACAATTAAAGAAACACTTATTTCAGGATGGAGCAGAGATGGAGTCCCGTTCTGCTGCTGCCTGTGTCTGCTGGCTGGCTGGTGTTGGGAGGTGGCGTTCAGTCGATTTTTCAAGGCGTCTTTTGGTTGCTCAGAAACGACATCGTGGATCCACTTCAGATCCAGTGACTGCTGATTGGTTGTTCCATTTCACAAATACAAACTTGATGTCAGACATATACTCTAACACTTCCCTAAAGTAACGAACCAGCACAAAGCGTGGACGGCAGTGGTCAAATGACGCCAGAAGTCACTGACCAAGCAGACTTCGGCGTGAGACCAGGTTAGTTTAAAAAGTCCCAAGTCGTCACAGAGTGAAAGAAATAAATCATGTATAGAAATAAAAAAAATTCAATGCATCATGATGACATCGTATAACTATGATGATGCTCAACCACTCCATTGGTGCATCCAATGATCTGCCTCCCTATTTCAAACTACTTACAAAAAAGGTGGTAAGTGGGAATGACGTCACCTCCGAGTTGACAACAGTTTTTGCATGATAATGGCGGACAAGTCGCAAAAAAACATGGACGCCCGCAAGAAAGTCTTTGGGTGTGTTTGAATTTAAACTTCTGACTGAGATTGGATTTCCAACTCGGAAACTCGGAGCAACCGCATCAACCCCGACTTATGAATTCAAGATGGCTGCTGGTCACATACATAGTAATCTCTCAAGACAGATTCTGCAGTTTACATTGTAGAATCTGTCGGCAGCCCTGTGTGAAAGACGACTACAGGGGGGAGGGCGGGGCTTTGAGTTTGAATGATGCTGCGCTTTAACCAATCACAATGGAGGGGGCGTGGCGAAGACGTGCAGGTGTCCCCAGGAAATGTGTACCTACAGAAACAGCAAGCTCCGCGTTCATAGCGACCGCTCCACCTAAAACGCCGTCTCATCAACGTGAAAAAATTATTTTTTTTCCAGCGGATGTCTTAGTTACAACATGACTGAGCTAACTGGAGTAGTTTCATGTCGTATCCGACAACGGGAGGCTTTTAACAGATGACGTCCTGATGTTAGCTTTGCTAACTGTCCCTGTCAGCTGCAGCCACTTTCTAGACATCGTGATTTCCCATAACTGAATAAATACCACACATAGCAACACAAAACTGCTTTGCTAGCTCAATCATGTTGTAACTAAGATATCCGCTGGAAAAAATATTTTATTCACGGACTGTTTATTGAGTTATTACCTTATTTTTATACAGTCTATGTTTATTACAGACACCGCTAACGGCTAA